GACCGACAAAAGTCTCAGTGAGGACAGCTAGTGTCGGGAGACAGAGTCGATCACAGGATCTCGCAGTCCGTAGCAATTTATCGTATCTGCGCTACTGAAAGGAAAACGTCTTTAGTTTATTTGCAGGTGTATTTTAAAACGAATACATTGTTCATTTGTCAATGTGGGGGCGATTATGAATCGTGAATGAACAGGAAATGATGTGGAAACAAATAATTGTAGCTTATTTTAAGTGCTCGAATTTACCCAGTAAACAGACATTACTTCCCAAATTAATCATTCACACATTCCACAAACGTATAAAACATTAACATATTCTAAGTAATGTAATGGTAATTCTAAGTCACAACCAATCGAAAGAAATCGGATGATCAACAGCTCACTGTAAATTTCCCTAACATCTGTCTGAATACTAGTCTTTATCATCCAAATTTCCGTCTCTTGCATGTGCAATCTATGCCGAAAGAACTGTGTTCGTATATTTCATAAATATCAGCCCAGTCCAATAATACTTACAGGGTCCCAAGACAACAAACCACTAGAATATTTCCTTTGTTTTGGACTTATTCATCGTATATTTTTAAAAAGTCTTAAAAATCTTGAAATATAAAAAAATCATTAAGTTTCGAAAGATTGGTCACATTTCGTCTTCCGTTAAACAGGGGAACGGGAAGCATATTCTGTTTGTTCAGTAGACCGGATGGTAATTCAAAACCATCATCACAACAAACCAGTAGATTACGTTTCTGTGGGTCGGTGTATGATTATAAAATTGAACTTAAGGTAAACTGGGTGGAAAGCTGTACACTGGATTCAGCTAGTATAGGATTGGATTCGACGTCAGATTTGTATGGATACGATAATGAACCATATTGTTCCATAAAAGACGAGAGTTGCATGACCAGCTCTACGACTCTGGACTTTCATGAAAGACCATGGAGTTAAGAAGCTTAATCCAGCATGCCTTATGCTCAGTTAGAGACCTGAATACTTTTGACCACGTACTGGCACTGCGTCTGTGGAATGGGTCGCAACTTCTACCCGCATCACCGCTTCTGTTTGTCGCACATAAAGTTAGCACTGACATGCATCTTATTATGTCAAGTATTCAGATTCAATTGGCATTCCTTGTGATTATATTTACCTCATTAATCTCGATGTTATTCATTGCAGACATATTCTTCTAACTTAATCACACTACAGAGATATTATTCTTAGTCAGTTCTATGTTTTATATGATGCGGATAATAACCTGTTTCTGAGTAAAAGGACAAAATACACAAATAAACATTAAATTTAACAGAATTGGATTTGTGGTTCTCGCGTCGGTGAGTAAGGAGATGGCTGTCTTCTGGGTTGTAGCGACACGTACTCTGTTTCATCATCCTGATGATGGCGACAACAAGGACTTCTGAAACGGTATTAAGCTTCTACAGACAACACGGTGCTACAGACAGCCATCTTCATTTAACTGTGTAGTTCAGAAATTGAAATATGCATATGGACATAAAAGACACAAGGTTTTCAAACACTGCCCCAATTTTATGAACTTAGAGCAGCTAAGTAAATAAACTACTTCTTCAGAAGCTATACTAGAGCTCCCACTCCTTTTGTGGAACCCAAGGTTCATTATTGTGTTTGTAAGAACCCGCCACTGATGACCAGTCCCGAGAAAACTCTTGTAGATTTGAGTATTTTAGTTATGAACATTCGCCATTCGTGCTCGTTGTAATGATAATAGCAAATGGACGGCGACGGTGAGCAAGCACAGAGAGTAGACAGAAATCCAGCAACTAAATTTTCGCAGGATCGTTTCGCGTGTCTTCAAGTCGAAGTAATCTGGATTAACGAACGCTGCGCCAAATTAATCCAGACTAAGTATTCTGCTTGGATCGGTTATACCAGTTTAATACAGAGTATCTGATATAAAACGGATCACATCGGCTATTCGCCAGCAGAAACGCCCTCCAACAAGACTTCCACTTGATCTTTACTGCCTTCCCTTTCAACCTGTAAAATGACCGTTTTTAGATTTCTCTCTCTCTTTGCTCTGGCCTCTTTTTCATAATCCAGCATTCCTTTCAGGTGCCCTGAAAAAGGATCTTCTCAGACAAACTCCTTCCCAATCCCATGACTCTCACTGGCGAATTACCATGACATCACCCCCTCCTAACTTTCAAACCATCTACTTAATGACACCCCTCACTTCAGCCCTGAAGATATAAGCAATAGATAACAATATTGTCGTAATTTTGTTATTGATAATGTAAAGACTGCAGCGCTGTAACGACTTGGCTTAAGTAAAAATATCCAACACCTGACACTAGAAACACATGGTATACAACTTCCATATTTTAGATGTTTCCGTATTTTGCTAGTACCTGAAATATCCTGACTCTAGACTTATGGGACACCCTGGATATTACTATTAACTAATACTAAGGTATCCTAGGAGATGGGTGTATGCTAATCAGATTGAATATTTTGTCTCTCTTTTGCGTGTTATTTGTACGATATGTACATATATAAGGATGACCATGCCTGCCACTCGGTTTGCATGATTTAACTTCAGAATCCCGGGATGGATCTAGATGGAATTCCGTATAAGCTTTGTGCCATTTTATTCTGCTCTAAACTCGTACTTTTTTAATTTCCTACAACATCTACGAAGAACGAACTTGTGAGGTGGGATCGACACTAGTGCCACTTACTAAAGTGTCATGAAGTGTCGGTTTATACTAAAACTACAAATATGGGTACAGCGTGAGTCCTTCAGGCTGTAGATATATTATGATAAATTCTACGCAGTCGGAATTTCTACACACAAAACATATTATTGAATAATAGTATTACTGATTTATAATTCCCAGCAGCCTCAACATATGGACCTAAGCAACTGAAGGAAAGGTAGGCTTCGTAATTTCTTCCCATAATTTATTTTTATAACGACGTAAGTTATCAAAGCAGAGACCTGTAGTATATGTCATCAACTTTAAAGTTTCAAGGTCACAGGAAATCGTACAATGCTGCAAGACGAACCAGAGGAGCCCAGGATACTGAAGACAGCTCAGAACTCGCAGCGGAACAGAGCAAAGCTAGCAACGCTCTATGGCGACTCTGAGCCGCTGCAGGGAAGGTGAATAAAATTTTTCCCTGGCCTTGAAGCGTGTAATTTGTTGACGGCTGCTATAGTGCTGATTTTCGCGTAAACATAGCGCCTATGATCACCATTGGTCTCAGGCGTGTTTTGTTTTATGTTTTCGAGTTACCGCTCTCATATATATATATATATATAATACTAAAACTATTATGGTAAGAACAAAAAGAACGCTCTGCAATTGTATATTCTGTGACACTTCAAATTCTCATCATTCAGCATAAATTCAGACTTTTGAATTGGTACATAAAACGGGTGATTTCTTTTTTAGAAAAATGTAGATCCTCAAGACACAGAACCAACTTTACAAGACAGTGTCTGTATGACAGACTCATATTTTTTCACTTAGTTAAGAAATTCGCCGCTTTTATAAAACCCAAGCTCGCTAGATAAATCCAGTTTACACTCTCATACATTATTTCTTTAGGGCCCGTCTTAACATTGTTTGTTCCCTATATCCGCGTATGTGTGCCAAGTGGTCTATTCCCTTTAAGTTACGTCATATTATGTTACGTTCTCAAGAACTGTTTTTGAGAAACTTTATAAACTTCAATCTTGGCTTAGTATAAATTATATCAATTAGGAGGTTGGGGGCAAATATTTGACCGGTACAAACAAAAACTCATTTCTCATAAAGACTTTTATAAATCGAACACTAATTAAATCTAATTCCATCCTTTACTTTACAATTAAATGACTAGCTAAGCTACTATTGCCTTCTCAAAAAGCACTCTTACTGCACTAAGTTATTGATTTATTTATAGCCAGTCAAAATTATCGCAAGACATGTATACGGAAATTGATAAAATACACAAACATTTGAAGATGTCCAAGAATTTAAAGTTACAAAAGAGAAGAATAGTTACAAAAACATTGTAGAGTAAAGACGTTTAAAATATATTTTACAGACATCACTGACATCACTCTGTAGCACTTCACATATTCTGATTTGCATGACCTATATCTACGTGTAGTCATTTAAATAAATGAGGTGCTCTGAACGTAATTAGTGTCATTATCGTCAGAAGCTTTCTATCCGCAGCATAATAGTGTCAAAACAGAATGGCTGAAGGCACTGCATCATTTGACATGAAACAACTATCTCTTCTCATCTCTTTCACAAAAAATAAGATAAACACAATCACAATGAGTTCAGGTCCTCATCTATAAACGCAAAATATAAATATGTCACTATTATTCCAGTATTTATCTTTACGTTTCGTAGGATCTACCAATGTACATGTACGTCGCGATCTATATCCCACAAAATTAGTATTAAAAACTTATTGCCCTTTGGAAGACCAGCAGAAGGAGAATATCACCGAAATTTAGCTTTCATCTTGAATACTAACAGTCAACAGTATTTTCGTATTAACAAGTCCACAGTCTGACAGGTCAGCGTTCTTCTTTTCCGACTCGTCCCTTCGACGCCCCGTCTCCATGTAACCACTTCTGATAGCAAAGTAAAGTATCGAATTGGTAAATCTGTTTATTTTGTACGGTCTCAGAATTCCCGAAAAACGTAAGCCTATTTCATCTGTGAATATTCAATAATTTCTAACACACATTCACACAAGAACAGTCGCAGAAATACATCACCCTTCATTACACCTGAGAAGACAAGAACAATGTCATTTTACCTGGTGATAATAATTTCAATCGAACTAAGTCGCAAATAAAATTTTCACAATTTTTATGAAGCGATGTTCATTGTATCAATATGGTTCGAAGTATACAGAAATTCAACTGTTTTGATCTCACCTCACGTGTTATTATGAACAGAAGATCGAATTTTTATACGCGTACTTTATAAGAAGAGAAAACTTTAAACACATTACAGTACCTGGCATTTTGGAAATTCCTCGACGGGACGGTCCACCTTCCAACCAAGCAGAGGCGGAATGCAGATGAGGCCACTGAGGATCCACACGAGTGTAATCATGACTGCAGCTCTTACAGGAGTTCGCTTCTTCAGGTAGTCTACCGCCTGGGTAATGGACCAGTAGCGGTCCAGGGAAATGAGGCACAAATTCATGATGGATGCAGTACACAGCAAAACGTCCATTGCACTATGAACGTCACACCACCAATTCCCAAAAATCCAATAACCCATTATCTCGTTAGCTAAGGAAAATGGCATGATAACCAATCCGAGGAAAAAGTCTGCTACGGCTAACGAAGCGATGAACCAGTTCTGGATGTTCTTCAGAGCTTTCTCTGTTGCTATGGCAATTATGACCAGCATATTGCCCACCACTACGACGATCATCAGCAGTGTTACAACTATGGAGGCGATGATGATGTGAGGCATGGAGTATCCGCTGGGATACAGCGAGTCCCCCCTCAGGATGATGACCGTGTGGTTGAGGTCGTACGACCCGTTGGTGTTGTTGCTGGCGGAGAAGTTGCTGTCCCCGTCATTGTCATAAAACAGGAGGTAGTTGATGTTGAAGCGGTCCAGCGAGGTCTCGTTGCCTTTCTCATCTTCTTCAGATGGGAATATCTCCATTCTCTTGCCTAATTTATTTATTTTTATATCCGTTCTTTTGACTTGTTTTGATTGATTATCCAACACAAAAAATTAACAAATTTATTCAGGATGAACGCATTAGCTTTTCAATACGTTGACTGTAAGAACTAAGCTGGTTTTGGGACGTATTTTCGCCAGTTTAAAAATTGTTTGCACAGAACAGCTGTTTTCTTTGTGACTTCTAATACTTAGAAATCAGATGAGGCACAGATTAGATTGGAAGAATGTAATTAGAATGACGAGAAAGTGGTTGGTCGAATAACATATTCAGCCCGATACCAATTCTTATCTAATGATTAGTGCATGAAGTGTGATACTGGTACAACATGTGAGTTGGTCCCTAAAGGAAACATAAAGTTTGAGTTATATGTTAGTTTTCGTTGATTTCAATTGTATTCTATCACAAAATTACAATAAATTTAATGTTTCTCCAAATTAAACTGAACTAAGTTGCTTGCTTTCGAATTTAAGCTTCGCTGTCAGACGTGGTACGACTTATCTCAGCAGTTTGCACAATGTTTTCTTCTTCTTTCACATTACCTAGCTTCACACTTTCTATCATAACTTGGAATAATTACTTCACTTTCGTATTAAACGGAAAACGTATTTCTATAAGCGACTGGGGTTCGCCAGCTTCTATATGTATTCAAGCTTACTTGTTTAATTGCTTATTGAGTTAAGAGACTACCACAGTGGCCAGGAACGGGCAGTGGTGAGGAGAAACAATCAAGTGATTGATGTCTTAAAAAATTGTATTTCGATCTTTCAGATCCTCGTATATGATTTATACAAATTTAGAAATGCGTTTAATTTACGCGTGATTCTGTCACAGCAAATCAGATTTTAACGTACTGTGAAGCTTTATTAATATATAACGATGCGACAGAGTTCAACAGGAAACTTTCGAGTCTTGAACGAAACAATTAAGTTTACTGACCAGATGAATACGTTACATTATGTAAACACGTAGAGAAATTCCCTAATAACTGCAGCTGTAATTTAGACATAAATATCCACATTATATTAACTGAAAAATAAATTGATTTTTAAATGTTGTGCTAGGTTAGTGGGAAATTACATTAAGCTGATATTTTTATACACGTAGTATATTTAGCACAAACGACAAAGAAATTCACTGTGACAAAAATGTATTTATGATCTATTAAAAGGATGCATCAATATTCTGAAATTAAGAAGAATTGGAAGTTATAAACGTGCAACTGACAAGGAACACTTAGAATTGGTCGCAACGCGAGGTAAGGACACTTAGGATTAAGTTTAAGAGTTTAGGATAAATATTATACGGACTTAGCAAATTTACTGTGATTGGAGGAACGTGTCACACAAAGTAATAAACAGAAAAAAAGGCATAAATTTGTACTTCACAATTCGTACAAGAACGCGAATCTTGTGGGGCACCTCAGTCTACGAAGATGTCGCACGAATCTTAACAGATGTAATGTTTGTTTCAGCCACGGATATATAAGAAAGACGAGATTAAAATTCTTAGTATTACTTCAGCAGTTACCACAAGTTGTCACAGAAGTCTTCGAATCTGGTCTTTATACTTGCACTTCAGTGAAAATTTCACATTCTATGATTAACCGTATGCTGTATCTGCCGATATAAAATGAAAGAGATTTAGAAAGTTTTGCAAATCGGGAGATTATTGAATCATATATAGATATCTTTAAAGTTTGGTTTTTATGAACAGAAGTTGACCAGAAATAACGTGTTATAAAAATTTTAAGATGGTTGGCATTAATTATAATTAAAGTTTACTCAACGCTTAGTTAGATTACGGAAGGATTATTGGTGTACTAAGTTTGTTTTACAGAAAAACTCTTATTACTTTATTGTTATAATTGTATGAGATAATAGATTTTCGCAGTTCAAGGTAGATAAGAATTCTATTATTACACGAATTCGCTACTGAGGGATAATTTTTTAAAGCTGTATTAGCCTTTCTTAGTCTAGACACAGTACAAATTAAGAATAGAAGTAATGTGATTGGATAATATGTTACTTCAAACGGTCAATATTCTTCAGCATATTTTTCAATAAGATAAGGGAAAGACAAACGCGTGGATATGCAGTTTCTAATGTACTGCACTGAGTGACAATTGCTCTAACTGTTTGTAGGTTAAGTACAAAAGCTTAGAAAGTAAACAGAGAAAAAATTTGGTATGCGATAATAGAATTTCGGCTCGAAGAAGAACAAATATGGTAGCTAAATACAGCTGATGGAGAAGGGATGCGATAGGAGG